TCACTTGATTTCCATTTTAGTTTTATTATTTCAGTCATTTTGCCACATTTAACTTTTCCTACTATCTATATGAATGAAATGCTGCCATCTGGATTTATGTATTTTTGTTTCTTCACACATACAATAACGCAGGAATAAATTTAAATGTTTTTTTTTATTAGGTTTGTATATGTTGATAATGAAGGTGGTAATTTTTCTCTGTCTTTATTTATCAATACATTGCTGCCCACCATCTAAAATCGCTCACCTTTTGTTGTATTTTTCTGTCTCCGTATCTTTACTCTTCCACTTCCTTACTTTAACTCCCCCCTTCATGCTCTCCCTCTGATCATTTTTCACATTTCGGATTGTGGCCGTGTTGACGGGTGCTGAAAACATTGACTTGCTTTGATGTTTGATGTTTGCTGCTTGTGTAAGTTTGTCTCGCTGAGCCTAGGGTTTGAAGGTAATAAGAGGTATGAGATATGAGTGTGAGTGGGGAGCTAGGCAGAGGGTACAGAAAAAAAGCAGAAAAAAAAACATTTTCCTTCGGCGATTTGCAGGTTTGCAAAACTTGGACAATGAAAAAAGAATTGCTGCAATGGCATTTAAAAAAAATTATTATCCTATATGTATTATTATTATTATTATTATTATTATTATGAAAAATGCTAGCCAGAGCTCAACTAATACTTCCAAAGTGTAGTCTACTGGCCAAAACTTCCATCTAAATAAAACAATAAGTCAAGCAAATAAACATTAAATAGCATAATAGTAAATAAATGAATGAGTTTTATGCTTCTAAAGAGTCATCAAAAATAAAAGGTGCAAAGTACAGAAAAAAATCAAAGACTGGAATCTGAGTATGTTTTTGATATTTGTAGGATCGATTTTGTTTTGTAGTGATATACATAAACATGTCATATACATTGTACCATTTACTTCATGAACTCTCAGGATTAGATCATTGGGTCTTTGTATATGTTATCAGGGATGGAAAAACAGTCATGCCATCTAATCTCGTCACATCTCTAAGTTGTCAGAGGTGTGGATTATATCATCACCAAGTCAGTACAGATGATGAAAGAAGACGTTAAAGCACTGATTCAAATCGTGCCTTACCACGAGATCTATGAGCTGTCAGGGTTATGGACTATATGACAAAGATGTCTAAATGGCGGTGGAGACAGAGAAATGGAGAGAGCGATGGTGCCAATCCAATCTTGTCATATCTACAAACTGTCAAGTGTGGGTTATGCTCTATGACAACCATATCAGTCACATCAATATTATGGAGGTGAGGCGAGAAAGAGGATTATATGACTTATATGTATGACTTTGTTGATAATGGAGGAGAAGAGACAAAAGCAAGGGTTTGCTGTTTGCTTCTGCATTCATGCAGGCTACATGCTGTCCCCAAACTGGCAGAAAACATCTAACACATTAGACACTCACCTTTGTGAATGTACAGTAGATACACATTTGTAGGTTTACAATATTTTAAACATTTAAGCTTATTTTTGAGGTTTAAATGGTTAAATGCGGTTCGAGGTTAATTCAAATATTCTTAAAAACATTTGATAGTTTTAAGAACGTCTTTTTTCATATCTTAGCTCAGTGAAACCAACCTTTTTTTTCAACATTTCAGACTAAATTATTGACACTACTGACTCATTGCAAAGAGACCCGGCACACAGAATGCACTTGCCTTGACACAGCCCTGTAGTTGGTGGAGTTTTCAGCTTTTTTCTGGGCTAAATAAAACACAGCGGTAATATCCTTATGACTTTTTTTTCACTCTTATTGTCCATTTTCCTTTCATGTTTTTTTTCACAGTCAGATCTATTGCCACTGCTCAATGGAGATTACAAAAATACTTCAGAACATGTAAGTGTGTTGCTGTAATAGTTTTATGTTGCATCAGGGCCTGCAACTAACATCCCAGCTATAGCCTGCTTTGATCTAATAACCTACTGATGAAATTCATGTGAAGATGTTTTAGTAGCATCTCCTTCACACGCTTTTAGATCTGATATTACTCTTACAGATGTAGTTCAATATGATGTCAAGTTTGATGATATTTTTTTAGGACAATCCTAAAAGATGATACAGATATTTCAACATAAAGTAATCGACCATCCATGTTTAACTGAAGTATAACCACAGGTGATTAACAAATGTAAAGAAAAAAAGATCTTCACAGACCTACACTTGACAAATGCTTGGAAACAGTGATATTTTTAAAGTGTGAACATTAATGTGCAAAGGTTTTGAGCAACCCCTCATTTTTTTACATTTTGTTTCCATTTTGCTATCTTGTCAATTGGTCTTGAGCAATAGGTTTTCAGACTTCCTGAGGGCTTTTTTCTTTGGACATTGACTGCTCGTTCACATATTTTTAGTTGAGTCATCATACCTGACCCTTATCAGAGGAATGTTTTGTTGGTAGTTTGTTTGTTAAACCAATTGTTTAAGCATAAAAAAAAGCACCTAAATCAAGTGATGAGCCAGCATTACGTCTAAAAATAACAAAAATCTGAGCACAGATTTTAAATGGTATCTTTTGAGACTTTGTTTGTGGCAGCTTGGTGCACAAACACATAATCTGTCCCCATCTCTTTAGTTGAATCTATGAAAAATACCAATGTTAACACATCTTCACAGATATAAAATACCCTAAGAGCTATTAGCTAAGAAACTTCTTGTATTGTGGAATGGTTTGAAGTGTGTCCATAGAAAATTTAGGAAACCCAAATAGAAAGACAATAAAAGGACAAAAATGTAAGGCCTAAAAAAACTATCTACAGCAGATGAGCAGCTGACGAAAACCACATCTTTAGACCTGACACATGATGTATTTATACACCTCATCTATTTTATATTTACCCAATGTTTAAGAAGTCTCATTTACCACTAATAAAAGTAGTTTAACAGGGATAGCTTTGCCCTGAAAGAGCAAGATACTGATATTGTAGTATAGTCATCTGGGCAGAAGCATTAAAAGACTTAACAAAATGAGAAAAAAAATGAGACAAAGACAAAGAGCTTGACAGACAATTTGTTCTTGTCCTGGCTTATCAGATCTGTAGCTATCAGGGCAAAGTGTGCAGCTGATAAGTCTATGATGAGGATGGCTTATAGGCCATGATGGATATCACCAGTGACAACCACCACCCACAAGGATAGATGAGACAGATAACTGACATAAGACATACATACTAAGAGCCAGATGTCTGGCATAGCCTTCATGCCCATTCACTCGTATCAGATCTTCAGTACAAGATCTTACTGTGGTGAGCAGAGGCAGTGGCTGACAGACCTATTATTGCACCAAACTGACATGTCAGAGGCAGAGAATTATTGGAGGGAGACATGATGATGATATATTGGGGCAATAATTGACATGACTATAAGATAATAAATGATGGTGAGAGAAATAAGACCATTGGTTACAATATGATAATTATATAGTAATTAATTACAGAGGGGAAATGGCAAGGAGCAAAACAGAGGGATGTACTTTCCTGTAATAATATTAATCGCTGTTACAGTAAGTCATTATTTTTTATTGGCTAGCAGGGACACAAAAACATATTCTGCTTTGTCAAACCTGGTTTCCATTTCAAATCCTCACTATCTGACAGCATTATTTCTCCACAGTAACATTAGAATCTACATCAAAGTGACATGGAATAAAGTGAATATAAGTAAAATTCTGTCACTGTTGTATATTTTCTCAATAAAAGACCATGATTCATAAGTTTCCAGCTCTACAACATAGTCCCAGAACAGAAAATGTGTTTCAGTCTGATTTGGATATTAACATATTAAGGATTAAGGTTTGAAAGAGAAAAATAATGCCCTTACTGGCATTTAAAATAATTTGAATAGCTTTGAATTTTAATGCTGCATTGCTAATAAATTTTTTGATAAACAGTCTTGTCAGTCAAAGAAGTAAATTTGGCAACAAGAAGAAGGTGACTCAAGTTATAGACAGAGAAATGTAAGAGAGAGTGTGTGAAAAAGAGCATGTGGGAAAGCAGGCGTGTTAGAAAGTGAGACAGTGGGCGAGATAAAGAGAGCATAAGGGCAGAACTGTGTGAGAGAACGAGATGGATAGACATGCAGTCTGATTGCCATTTGGCGTTTGATAAGTAGAAAGTGACCCAGCTGAGGTCATGTCACGATATGTCTACTGACTCTGCCAACTCAGAAGGACAGAAGGAGAGATGAAGATATAGAGAGAAAAAAATTACCACAAATTCATATGCAAATAGGAGACTAATAAAGTGTTTATCCTACAACTTTAAAAGTAATGTCTGTACAATTAAACGCTGTAGTTCTTGGTAAGCCAAGACCTCCAAATCCCTGTAAAAACAATTACTTAATCAGGTAATAAACCACTACAACATCTACAGAATTCTGGAAGTATCTACCATTGATCTTTTTGTTTGTTGTTGTTTTTTTTTTTAACTATATACAACAATGACTTAATGTTAGAGATATGTGAAATTGATTTATTCTTAAAATGAAAAACTGTCCTTTAAAATGACTGATAGTGGGCTCCTTACAAAAATAAGTATTGCTACATTTGTGTAATTCTGAAACGTCACAGGAACACTAACTTTTTTTGTTTCTTTACCAAAATAAGACAGAAATAAAAGAGAGTCATTTCCTGTTCTAATGAATACAGAAATATGAAAATAAATTATAATCCAGAAAAAGTATATTTTTTCTGCTACATACATGATGCTTTCGGTCCTGTTATAAAAATGTAGCAAATGGTAATCATTCCTTATCTATTATAAAATCACGTAATATTGTACATGATTTTTATGTTTGATTTTATCAACCTAATGTTAACTACAACTGACCAAGACTAGAAAGGATTTGATTTAATTTAATTTGGTTGTGATACAAAAATCAAAACCATAACCATGACAATAATTATAATGGGTCTCATTATAGACACCATACAAAAACTTGAACTACAATACAGAGAGACATATGTAGAATCTTACCAGTAGGTAGGGCAGGATCCATGGTGGGCTTTTCCCAGGAGTTGACTTGTTCCCAGGTAAAACCATTGGTTCCCAGAGAAACACTGTATCCACAGCTGCTATATGACTCCTCAAATGTACAGCCACCTACAAAGAAATAGAAAAAGATGCATGCATTTATACATGACGATCAATTCACTGAAGCAGTGGTTGAACCTCAGAACTGCAAATGATAGTCAAAGATGGAAATGTAATGTGTAAGAAAAAAAATGACCAAAATTAAACAAAAAAACTTTAATTGTTATAATTGTTACAGTTTTAGCCTTGAGTTGGTAACAGCTGATAGTTGTAGCAAGTCAATTTGCCCAAAGTTAAAAGTCTTTCAACTGTAGGAAGCAGCAAGCCTTAAGCAATTACTGTCACAAATGCAAAAAACTAAGATCCAGCACTACATCCGTTTACTAAAAAAGGCATGAGATGAATCATTATTTTTGCATTACTTTAACAAAGAAGGCTTTAAAATGAATGCAATTTGAATCCCATATTGTGGGAACTCGTACTGAGATAGTTGAAGAGTAGAAAGAGGTTATAAAACAATCATGTAATAGCTAATGGTGACCATAAACAGAATTAACAGTAGGGTCTGATCTAATGAAATTCTTAATAATTGAAACTTCTCCCTATTTATGCGACGACAAATACGGTCTTTATAAGCTCCCTTGGTACTGTTAACAATATAATACCAATTAAGTTAACAGCGTGAATTGAAAGTGCCAGTGCAGACAGACACTGTCACAGTTTATCAGGGAAGTGAAGAGAACAGGGGGAGTGAGAAAGAAAGAAAACAGACTTTATGAGAGAGGATGCCTTTGCAAGAGAGAGTGAGAGAGTGAGTGAGGGGCACATGAAGAGAAAGCTCTGTGTGTCAACATGATTAAGTCACAGTGTCTCATCATTATTTCATGGCCCAGCTAAGACACATTTTCCACTGCATTAGCCTTCTCTTTTAGCCTCAAGCACTGCATACACACACATCTGCAACAGAGTCCCTTAATTAGACATATGCTTTGACACACAACCGTTTTAATTTGTTTTGAAGTATTTGAAATTGGAGAACGTCATTGCTTTATTCACGAAATCATTTAATGCTTACTTTTTTTGTCTGCCTCTTTGTCCCAGTCATCCACCGAGGAAATAAATGCCAGTTTAAACTTCATCAAACATGTTTTTAGATTCCAACAAGGCCAAATCAAGATGGCTTATGATGCTTTGTAGAATATTGGCAGCATTTAACTGCAAAATCCTTCTGTGGTGTTGTAGCATAGCTGTTGTGATGAGAGCTTAAACTGTACATCGCCCACTGGCTTGTGAAGTCTTATCTTGAAGCTAGCTTTGAAGTGAGCATTTTGGTCCAGACATGACAAATAAGGGGACATCTGACTAGGAAACTGCATGTTTATGTTGTAGGTAGACCTGGCCTAAAGCTTGCACTGTTTTAAATAAAAAAAATGACCTTAAACTACAACATAAACTCATCTGCACAGTGTGTACTGAGGCTACAGATCAAGTGAGCTAGGCTGTTCTCCTTTAGATGTCTATGCATTCTTACCTTTTTATTGTAACCTAATGATTTGGTTACAAATCATCACGGAATTGCCGCAAATCATCACCTGTTATAAATTGCAAATAATTCAGGTTTAAAGGGCTTTGCATTGGCTTCATTTTTCAGACCTGGATGCTACATAACCGAATTTCCCAGAGGAACCCACCCGAGGGATTAATAAAGTTTTATCTTATCTTATCTTACATCCATCTTTTACATACAGTCGGTGGATAATGCTGACGTGTCAAGCAAGTACCCATTTTCTTAAAAAGACTAAGAAACAATGGCTGAGTCACACCTTGTGACTGTGGCTCTGCCTTTTCTCGTCACTACAGACTTGGTGTTGAGAATTAAGGCTAGTTCCAAGCTATGAGGCAGGTGAGACTTCCAAAATCCTATTATTGAGGATATAGGATACAGAGAGCTGGAGCATTGTTTACTCATAAAACATGCACAGGTTTAAAATGCACAGCAGATTGCATATCCATATATCCATATATTGATATCTTTAATACACACCCTCTGAATTGGGTCTAAAATATATGATATGGTTTTGATTATGCTTCTTCAAGCAAGCCTTACATCAACTGGGAAATGAATTTGAAAAACATGGGGAAAAAATTCATCCATCTGCATTCCGTTTGAAAAAAATAACCTCCAGCAAAGCGTGAAAACTAGGAAAACACTATTTTTCTCACAGATATGAAAATAACTGTTATAAATTAATCAATACAGAGATAATTAGCCTTTATCGCCCCCTCGTTGTTCAGTGATCTCATTAGAAATGAAAAGAAATCAAAGTGAACTCATTAGAACAGAGGGATAAACAGGCAAAGGGGGGCTGTGGGGTATCTATCAATATTCAATATCAGAACTGCAATTTTAAGGACCACAATCAGGGCACGAGAGAGAGAGAGAGAATTGGCTCACAGCAGTAGCCAAACATTCAGTATGTGTGTGTCAATGCCCCTGATCTAGTTTTGAAATTCAGCACGACTCCTCCCCTCTCTGCACGCAAACATAATCACATGTTCTCAGTCATAAAATGCATTTCCATAATGAAAACATAACACTGCTACTCGAGTGTGATCTGAAGCATAGGCGTGTGTGTGTTCTTGTGTGAAAGTGGATGCGATGGTGAGAATGTGTTGCGGCGGGATGGTACGTGTATGGGCTCATGTATGTGTCATTGCTTTTATGCATCAGCCATTATTGTTTGCGTCTGTGCATATGGTAACGTGTGAATTAGTGTGACACCAAAACAAGCATAATCTCTTTGTGTATGAAGTTTAGCATTAATGTATAGGATATATAAGGATATATAATCAATTAATAATACTGCAGCCTATGCATACATGCACAGATAAAGATACACATGCACAGAGAACAATCACCCCATGTGATGCCTGTTATATGATTATTAATCAAAATTCCCTTAAAATGGGTTTGTGATTCCCTTATTGTTTAAATTTGGCAGCACTGGTTTGATCTGCTCTTTGGCACTCTGTAGTTTTCTGTTAGTCAGCAAACGTGTTTCCCTAAAATTGTCAACTTCTATGTCATAGCATAATGGAAAACAACTTAGTTTCCATCATCTCGATTAAATAAACCACTTTTCTGAATTACAATAAAATGCAGGAAACAGGAAAAGCATTCATGTTTCACTTACACTCTCATGAATAGTGTAGCCTATACATGAAAGGTGGCTCATATTGAAAACTGAGCTACATGTACCCAACAATCTGCAGCTCTCTAAATGTATCTGTAAAAGCACAAGTCTCCTCCTGTGGGTTTCCAGTAAACGCTGGTGTATTGATGCACGCTGCTTTTAAAAGCGGCTGATATAAAGTCATTGTTCTATCAAAGAGGTTTTTCAGTATTATAGCGCTATTACAGTATCATTTATTGTACCCAGACTCTACTCAATATCTTATCTCATGCCTTTTTGTTAGTGAGTCATAATAGTTCCCTTTCTCTATGCTGTGCTGTTTACTTCACTGACATTTTGTTCCTAAAAATAAAAATTAAAAAATTAAAAAATGCATTTGGAAAAACAACGAAGTCTTCCAGGTAGCTAGGGTTGTGCCGATGGATGATGATGTCAGGGACTGACGATAGCCAACTTTTAATGTAATTTCCCCATTGATAGATTAAATTAATGTCATTATTATGAAATGGGCATGCAATGGCTGTGTACGGAGGAGTTACAGTGACCCATCATCATCAAATCTGAGAAAACCAGAGATTGTTCCTAACTGCTGGATGGATGTTTTAAGCTAGAGCACAATGTGACAGTAAATTTGCAGAAAAAGTTCAGCTTTGTTCAGCTTTGAACATAATGTAAACAGCGAGGAGAGTGATGTGAAACATTTTGCACAGATAAAGACAAACAAACTGGACAATAACTAAACAAAGAACCAGCAAACATTACAACTTTTAAAAATGTTGTCTACCGTCCCTCAAAGGTGAGCACTGTAACGTAAAGTTCATAACTGCAACTTTGCATATCGCTACCTCTTGTGACAGAATTTATCGATGCCAATGACTCTGAGAAAACTATTTTATTGCAAAGTTTTCTGATTTTAAATGCTGATGTGACTGATTGGTCTTTAAGCAGATGGTTTGGTGTCTTCAGTGCCAGAGCATCATTTGTCTTTCAGTCTGCTGTGGTTTAACCACAAAGAATGATCTCAGTCTTACTTTAGCCACTTAATTCCTCCCTTGTAAGTGTTCTCTCATTTTTGGATGGTGTCACATTTATTTGCATGCTATACCTTGCTGGCAGCCAGCGAAAAATATTTAACCAAGATTTAAAAAAAAAAGAAGATTAACTCCAGCTCCTTGCAGTAAAACCTATGATTTTCTGGCAACAGAATTTGGAAACTGTTTTGCAAACTTGTTTTTCAGTTGAGTAATTCCAGTTTTGCATTTAACAACTCCAATATCCCAATGAAAGCTTTAATTTTTTATTTTTATTTTTTACAACTCATCAGCGGCAGTTATTGTCAACAAATTAATAGGCAACAGAGAAATTACAAGGACTTATTGTTGTCACTGCAGTTGAGATGTAATTTTTTTGGCTGTCAACAAAACAGTCTCACCAAAGCTTAATAATCAAAATGATAATTACTTTATTACAGTGCTAAAGGTTTGCACAAATGAGGTTTAAAGAGACAAGTGTGAACACATTTCAAAAGGTAAAAGCAAATTGTGGAAACTCATAAATTTAGAACCTATTGAGAGATGGAATCCAGGTAACAGAACTACAGCATTACTTCCTCCCCAAAGGTTTCAGTCTATTTCTAATGGGATTGTATTTTTAGGCCACAATTTATCAAAGAGTGAATATGGCCTGATTCATTTAAAATGTATTATCAACACAAGTGCACGATAGCATGTAATTACCCAAATGTAATATGTGCCGTTTAAGTATGCTGTAAAATGATACAATGTCACTTAACAATATTAATGAATATTTATGTTTTATAAGGAAGTAGGTTATTGAGGAAACATGCATGCAGAAGTGATTTCTCTGCTTGAGCTC